CGAGTGGCTAAGACGACTGAAAAGCGGAGTTTCCTTCTTTCGTTCTGCCGGGTAAAATCAATTACCTTAGGCGACGTTTGTAGACTAACCTACACGTACCAACGTCAGCATGTCGCGCTAGCCTTATCCTACTCTAGGGCTAGACTAGCTAGGATGGTATAGGCCTAGCCTTGAAGGGACAAAGGTCCCAATGAAAAACAACGTCGCTCCTTAATAGCTAACATTGTCTATTTAACATCACAATAATTCATTATTAGACCTATAGTTGTTTTTGGAATTGTACTCCACAAATCTCAGCTGATACCTCGCACAACTCGTTAACGTTGGCAGTCAACTCGCCCCTAGAAAACCCGCCCTTGGAAACTTGCCCCATAAAAAATGTACACTTCCTAGACCATGCAGTCTTCAAAATAAAAATTGTAACCTTTGGTAATGAACTACATTTTCCACATAATAGAAATTTTTGAAACTTTATTAAAAAAAACCTAAACCATAATTCACCACTATAGACTTTTTGACAAAAATGAAAAATTAACGACTTTGTTACCCAATGAGAAGCGTTCTAATATAGACAATGGGTCGTGTCTCATATTATTTGTTATATTTTTATTATTCATTATTTTCACTTAACTTGCATAAATAAGTTTATTCGAAGAACGTTTATATGCAGTTGTACTTCGCAATTTGCAATTTCTAGTATAAATTGTTATGAAGGTTTTTAATTTCTTGGTTCAGGCTCTACACTGTATTTGTTTGTTTTGAATTACTGTGGCGTGTGTTATCATTGCAAGTATTTAAACAGGCCTTTACTGTACATGGCTATGAGATGTTCTTTTTTTCTGAAAGTTTTAGGCTGGGCACTCAATTTGTTGTATGACGGTCGTGCAACTGTCGCATAATAAATCCAAATATGCTTCCTGTGAGTGCAAAATGATACAATGCAGTCTGCTGATTGGTGGTGGCAGCGCTAGATGATACAATGCAGTCTGCTGATTTGGTGGTGGCAGTCTGAATGGATCACCATTAAAAATGATCCGTTGCTCGCTAGTCGCGTTGCGTTCTTTATAGAATCGCGTTGGCTGCAATGAGTGCCCAGCTTCAGAAGTTGCTGCTTGGGCGCAAAATTTATACAGAAACCTACTCACCAGTTACAATGTTTTTTTCTTAATACTTTTCTTTATTTTATCATCTTTAATAATGCCATTTGTGTAGCTACTGTAATGGTATTCTTCATTTATTATTCATTACAAACATTGATAATACATTTTATTGATATTACTGTACCTTTTAAAATATTTTTGAGTATATTTTTTTATATCACAATTATCAATATTTAGTTCAATTAATTTTGATTAAATTAATATTCAGTTGTGTAATTATACTCAATTGCTTATTTAGCAATTTTGTTATTTTTTTTAATGTACGTGTAGCATGATGTAATTTTTTTTTGTGCAGTATGTCATCTTTATTTTTAAAGGAAATGTGGTTTCGATTTTATCACTCGACAATACTGTAAAAGGTTTTTCTGTCTTAGAAGCAGAAAGGTTAAATCCTTGAAAATCTCTTAAAGACTATTTAACTTGACATATATTAATAATAGACAAGTATCGAAGAAGCTAATTCGAAAGGAGAGAATTCTTTGCAGTGTCTGCTACTAAAGAAAATTCACTACTTAGCGTTGTAGCACGTTCGTACTCACTTTTAAAGCAAAGGTGCCATGTGAAATTTGACTTGATATTCATCAATGCGATGTTGTCTTGTTTTAAATCTGGTTTCTTCTACGACTAGATGTGCTTGAAATAAATCACATATTCTGCACAAATTCTAAAGCTTTTAACATCAGTGTTCAGGCCTTTCTGTACATTTTAGGCGGCCATGTTTTTGTGTTTTATTAGCATGATTGAAACAGTTAGCGTTGTGAGGAGATTTAGACGTAATTGAATCTTTCTTAGCATGATGTACAAGTAGCAATTACCATGTGTTGAGATGTCACCACAAGATCTGTTAAGTTCATGTACACAAGACAATCTCAATATCTTGACAAGTATTTTATTTAAATATTGCATAAGCACTGCATGCTTTTTAAAAACTCAAATATGATGCCCTAAATCTTACTTTATAATATTTTATTATCCCGTCACAGTGTTCCACATGTAACAGTCTGCAGTATTAAGTGTTAATGTTATTTTTGGAATGATATAGTTTGAAATATATAATATAATTAATATTTGCTAACTACTATATATATATATATCAGTAGAATATTTAATGTCCTACTGTACTGTTATTAACCAGTTAGCTTTCATCCAATATTATCATCATCATCATCACTGTTTATCACATCCAAATTAGCATATAATTACAGTACCATCCTCATCAACACCATCTACATTGTTGTCATAGTAAGTGTCATCTCTGCCACTTCAGGGTGGTGTTAATAGGCGAGGAGCCATGTTTTCACCATGTTTCTTGTTTACTTTTTTTTTTTTTATCATCTTTGGATACAGTGGCCCATAAGGCTGTAAGGCTTTCTCTCCAGTGTCCCCTGTCTCTGGCCACCGTTTTAGCTCACTCCACTTTTTCCACTGTTCGGCGCCATGTTGTTTTGGTCGCCCCACTTTCCTTCTTCCTTCAGGTGCCCATGAAAGTGCTGTGATGCAATGATGGCTCTCCTTCATTCTTAGCACATGGCCAATCTATTTCCACCTTTTTCTCTGACTTTAATGATCAGTTTCTTGTTTACATTAGTTGATTATTATAGATACAATACATTACAACAAATAATAGGCTCACAGTCTACTAAATGCATGTTTTTAATTAGCACTAATTTATCGCCTAAAGCTTTCATGTCCAAACACATTTGATACAAGTTTTAAATTCAGTTAAATAATTTATAGCCGACCGTACCGTATGCTTGGATACAACTTTAGCTCATAAATTTATAAACTAGGGGCTTATACTATATAACAAATATAATTGATGTGTTCCTAATGTAGTTCATTAATTTATAGCCATAACGATTACGCACTTTTTTACTGTCAGGACAATTATGAGCTTATCCAAAGCACAAGGTATACATACTGTCAGATCGAAAAAATATATATATATTTTGATATTTTAATTATTATTAGGTATTATTTGTATAAAATATCTTATTTTTAATTACTTTATTGGTAAAGATTATTGTTTAAATATAAATGTTATTTTTCCGGTTCATCTCAAATTACTGTAGACAAAAGGCCGAAGCAAAAGTTAAGCAAAATAATCTGATTAATGAGTACATTATTATATATCTTGAATCTAGAAAACTTGTACTGTAATTTGTACCAGCTTTTTAATTTATTCATTCATACAGTATATTTATTTATAAACAGTAATGCACTA